ACCGGCTGCCTGATTAATTCATCGCCGGAAAATTACAGGTTGCACATTGCCGTGGTCGTCGCGCGAGTGCGCAGCGCGTGCACACACAGCTGAACGTGATATACAGTTTTCGCGTAGTCGGTCGAAGGGGCCGGCCAGTGGAGGGGGGGGGGGGGGCTGGCTCGCTCATGACCGACCGAGCGCGGACGTGGCTTTGAATTGCGCGAGGTCGCTCTCGCGAGTCCACGGCGGGCCTGCGGAGATCGGAGCTCGCGGAGGCGCGGCGCAAGTCGGTCTGACCGTATCATTAACCTACTCCACTAATGACGCGCGCACGCGCGACTCGACAATGCGCCCGACGAGCCGTGAACCCGCGACGGCGATTGGGAAAAAGGAAAGAATCGGCGGGGCCGCGTCCATTAATCCCGGCACCCAGTTGAATTCTCTATCTGTCGCAGCGAGGACAGGCTTGATCCGCTTAAAAGCAGCGAGAGCTGTCTCGTGGATACTATCCCCCCGGCGATGCCATTCCCACGAATCGGACACGCGAACCCTTGATTTCCATGCTAAACAATGGGCGAAGGAGCTTTACGCGCTCGCTTTAATGATGCCATTTCAGGGTTATTAATTCCGGCGCGTTGTGTACGCTCGCTCTGCCGCTGCGCCGCTGCTGCTTTCTCTCGCTACTGTCTCTCGTCCCGACGCTCTTTGTTTATGCAATCATTTGTAGCCTCATCCCCATCCCTTCACGCGCGGCGTCTATCTTGCCTCTCTGCTTCCTCTTGCGTGAATTGATGCTCCTTACCGCTTCCTGAAATAAACGTCATGTCGGAGGACGGTTCCGCCGGGCTGTAAACTCCGCGCCCGGATTCATGACGGATACATCCCTGCAAAATATTATGGTCTACAGACTGACTTCTGAGAGCTGATATATACATCACAATCGACGACATTTACAAACCAAACGCACCGAGCGTCTATTCGGTCTGCTAACGATGTATCGCGCGAGCGCCAAATGATAAATCGTCGTTACTCGGACAGCGATAAATGTTAGGCCGATATAATCGCGCCGGCCATTCAATTAGATTAGACATGCTTATGGAATGATCGATGAAAATGGCCGCCGGACGTGTCTCTCCGCTGCCGATAGCGATCGCAATTGCGAGTACAATTTTTCCAACGCGGATCACCCATCGAGATCGCTAAAGTAGCAGTCGCCCACCTCGGCTCCCAAAATCCTAGCCCCGGCAAAATGATTGCTGGACGGATAAGGGCGTTATACCGTCGTATCCTCGAGAGACCGCAGATGCTGCGACTCACGCTGCCGATGGATCATAAAAACTACGTGCCAAGATTCATCTTTAAGGCCATTCTTCAATTTGGACAACGACGACGGAACGTACTCGTATTCACCGTGAAGCGAGCGTTGGCTTGTACGTTTCGTAAATGCACGAAGCTCGAGGTGCGATTGAATTGTCCTGCCGACTGGCGGAAAAGATTCATTCTTATCTTCGAAAGCAAAGCTGTAGAATAAAAAAGAACTTGTTCGTTTTTTTACCTGCGATTGATCATTTGTAGAGCCAAAAAAAGCTCGAATTCGTCGGGCTGGTGCAAGCATACACGCGGTGTCAGTTCGGCCGAGTAAAAAAAAACGACCTCCAAGATCCTCTAGAATAAAAAAGTATTCGCATTCAAATCTTTTTCGTTAAAGGCCTCCGCGTCATAGGGTCAAGAAGAATAGAGCACTTGGCGGCGTCCCATTTCAGTCTACAAGTTAAAAATTGTTTTTGAGATATGAGTTGGGGTTGGGTTGGGCTTTTTATTATTCGGTAAAAGGTAAATAGGACGACATCAGTCTAGAACCGAAGAACGAACATTACTTCGTTATTGATGAGCGTGCAAGTTGACGACTCTTCTTAGCAAGAATAAGTTTATGGATACTCAAAGTAAGTTGTTTAGCTTTTAAACTTGACGAGGTTAACTGCTATGTATTGGAGTAGATCCATCTCTGTCAGCAAATTAGAATTCAAATGGTTGTCATTTAAAGTTGTAACTTTGGATTGATACCTCTATCTAGTATCCTAGTAGCGATATATCGATAACCTAAAAATTGAAATAGTTTTAGTTTTGTCAAACATTTTTATGTTACGTTGAAAACGAAAAATATCGTTCTATTTTCAAAACGTTTCAATTCGTGATTGCATTACTTACGTATGTATACGTATGGGTGAGAAGTGTGAGAGATGTGGATCCTCAATCGTTGACGTTGGAACATCTTTCGGCGTGGCATACATGCATCGTGAATCCAAAAAATATCTAATATAAGCATTATACAATACAATATTGTAACTAAATAACATTACCGTAAAGATGTTCCTAGCGACATCTACAGCGCAAGTATATAAGCCAGTGACTACAGGAGAACGCAATTTCGATATCCCTCATGGTAAAGTAACAAATCAATTTTTTAAATTTGTTTTTTGAATTTCCAATCGGAAGTCCAATGTAAGTGTATTCATCCTCTGTTTATGTTATTTTTTTAACCATCATAATGCGGAATGGAAAATTTAATGTTTGGACTACCGAAATAGGCACAAACTTATCTTCTACTAGAACCATTATTAGATCAACAAGCTTCTCGTCGAATAAGTCTCGATTTGCAAGAAAATTTTGAAAATGTTATTCAAGTTCTCGGATATATCGTGTGATTGTTGTTGTGGAACCTGGTAAACTATAATTTAGAGAAGTTTCGATGGTTTTAACACTAAGAACTGTTTCTACGCAAAGTTTATCCGTTCTCCTATCTTCAAAAGTAAATGCGTCCGAGAAGCAATTGCTTTCGAGGTAGATGAGGTGCATGAAGACCCGAGACGCGCCGTAGTAAAGTTTTTCATAAATCTACGAAGAAAAACTACGCGAGTGGCCGAATCATTGAAATTATGCGTATTATCTCGTGCGCGCACAGCGACGAGCTTGCTTCTAATATTATTTCTAATAACACAATACTTGACAGAGGAGGGAGCGCCTAAATACAGTGTGTCGCCGATTTATTATGCGCATATTATATCGGCCCTTGGCGTTCTTTCCTCGGTTCGCTATTTATATAAATAAAGGTCGCACGGCTGCGGCATTTATCCCCTAATCGATTATGCGCGTCCGACGCTGGTTCAGACGAAGGGGAGGCGAGCTGCTGTCGCGTTCGCGAAGACGCCATTATTCCTATAGGCCGTTCGCGTGCGGATGATTGACCGGCGATCTCGCGCGAAGGGGAAGGAAAACAAAGACGCGAGCGCCGAGCCGCGCGTTATCCATTTTAATGCGCTCGGCCGCGGCGGCGCGGAACAAAGTTCGCGGCTGATATTATTTCTATAGGCGCGCGAGCGGATCGCGGCGTTCGCCCGCGCTCGCATTATGCGCATATTTTATTCGCGCGGCCCGGCTCCTCGGCCCGTTATTTACGACGCGCTCGTGGCCGGCGCCGGCGTACTGCGCGACGGTGGACGGCCGCGTACTCCCAAAGACAGCGCGTCGCGACCGAAACGCAGATCGGCGATCGCGGGACGCGCGCCGGCCCTTCACTTTTCATTTTCGTCCGCGCTGCATACAATACGCGCGCTACCCGTGCTTCCATTATTCATGACATTTCTCATTTCTCATTTCTTTGCGCTCGCGCCCGGATCGATAGTCGGACGCGCAAAAATACGAACGCAAACTGCAATTCAATGACGCTGTAAGATTTTCGTGATTTCGAGTATCTTTGCCATAATTACTACAGATATTAAACATATTGTAGAATTCTTTATCATGTCACAATTACTCACGGACTTGTCTTGATAGTCGACCAAACGCGACTTTTTTTCTCGTTCGCTTAGCCCTGTCCGTCGATTTCTGCGTTTGCGCCAAATTCGAGTATGGTATGGTCCCTACGATGGTAGACAATGAGATGCTCGCTTTACATGCTCCGCTTGCTAATCTTCTTGTTTTCGTCAATTTTCATGCCTCGGATCTTGCCACTGTACTCGATGTTGCACGTAATGTTGATTCCATTTAGACTTATGCTACGTTGTAACAACGTTGACTTTAGCAGAATTTGTATTTTGTATGATCATAGTTAATACTCATACGTAATGGGGAAGGTCAACTCTTAACATATAATTAATAACTCATCATAATGTTTAACGTTTCGTTGATATTATTGTTAGGTACCTAAAGATAATAATATCAACGAAACAATGAACGTTATGATGAGTTTTTAATTATATGTTAAGGGTTGACTTCCCCATTGAGTATGAGTATTAATTACAATAATTAACGATGAATTTACCTATAAAAAGCTTTACATTTCGAAAATTTCTAACATTCAATTGTGATTTTTTCTTAATTGTAGTATTATTATATTTTCTAATAATTTTTCCACGGCTACAAACTAATAGATCTACTGAAAGGTGCAAAAAAGATGAAAAATGATTACGTACGATAAACATAATTGCCTTTCAAATCCTAGCTGCGTCTAATTAAACTTGAATACATGAATTAATTCATCAGTTAGTTACTAAGCAGTTTTTTTAAAAGCTACCAAACAATGTAGAGTCGCGAAGTTGATGGTTCGAAGTGATTAACTCGAAAAAGTGTAGTTATATTTGATGAATATATCTGAGAACACATTTGCCAATCATGATGATGACAATAATGTTATCAATTCTATTGAAAAGCACTTTCAAAAACTCAAAATAGTAATGAAATTTATACTTTAAAAAAGTATATTCAACTGCGTAATAAAATAATATTGTGAACGATATTCAAAATAAAATATATTTCGTTATTTCCTAAATTACGAAGCGATAATAGTGAGTATTTTTCAAATATTATACTATTTGATGTGAAAAAATTGGTTATTGTCGTAACCGTATGGTTTTGAATTGAGTAGAATAAAACACATTCTCATATTGCTAAAATATTTAATTTGTCACAAGGGCTAAAAATAATAGTAGGTTTCTTAACTTCACTTATCATTGATCTTGCTAAATTAAAAATTTGAAAAACTACAGAGCTACATATTGGTTGCTTTGAGAACGGATAGATACGAGAAAGAAGTCTTCATAATCTGGAAAAGAGTTTTATTAATCTGACTTACATGACTTATATTTTATATTAATCATAACTGCTTACCGAAGTGAATGTTTCTGCAGATAGAGAGGTAAACTTTCCCGCTGTCAGTTTAAGAGGTATCTGTGCTATTTTTATAATATATGCAATAGCTCGGATTTCTGATGGTTTCGCGTTATACCAAAATGTGTCATATACTTTGTGCGATATTTGTTCGCTCTAAAGATAAAGTGATCGATTTGGATGTATAACGTTAAGAGTATGATTTTTTTATAAATAGATTGAAAAATAAATACCCACTTTATTGATGAGTCTCTGACCAAAAAAACAGAAGGAATATTCTTGCCATGTCACAGTTACACAAACCATGCTGTATTTCATCAATATCATAATGTCATTCGACTCCTGTTCGAAGAATACTTAAATAAACTTTTGAGAACTACAACCTGTACAATCGATAAAACTTAAGAATACTAAAAGTGCTGTTACAACTTACGGTAAGTACCATGAAACCAGCACAACACATCATAAAGGTACTGAGAAAAACTTGAAGGAATGATCCGTAAGTGTAAACAGTCTCAATTTTGTCGACAATGTTCATAATTTTCTGGTGTTGTTTGATTATCGGCGCAAGGGAGTTATTTTCTTGATTGTTTTGGCAATTCATTGAAAACTCATTGATTCTTTTTGAAAGCAAATCAATGTGCCCACAAACATATAGAACCTGTAATGTTACGTCGATATATGAATTTGAAAAATAGATAAAAGCTCTACAAAATTCAATCAAATCTGAAAAACGAAAGCATAAAATATAAATTTAATAAATTATTCAAAGTTAAGCTAATTTGCTGTTAAAAATTTTATGGTAAAAAACCACACAAGTATATTGTATTTACATTATCCTTTCAACAACGTAAAATCATTTGCGAAATTTAAATATATTTCTATAATTCTAAATTAGCAAAAATCTAAAAATCAGACTTCACATATAATAACGAAATTTTTCTTGGTCAAGATGAGATGCAAAATTAACAAATATTTATTAGAAGATTTTTATAAAAATGCGATTTATCTACGTTAACTTTTACGTGCAGCGCGATGACTATAAAAGAATAATTTAATATAATTATATATCAAAAGATTATTTCTATTTATTTATGAAATATATATAAAAATACTTGAAATGAAGTACCGACTAACCAAAGATACTAGAAGTGATTCAGACAACGATAGAATAGTGCACATAGCCAATCCTTGTATAACGTGAATAATAAACGTAATTTCGTAGATTGGAGACGTTCGGGATTCAAATGGGTATCTCACTTTTATCAGCAATTCCCTATTTTCTACGGGTGTTCCTGGATAATTGAGCATAAATTGTAGAAAATAGAATGAACTAGCACCTACATACATAGAGTAATCAAATTTTGTAAAGCGATGCGACTCTGCAATAAGCTTTAACCAATCTTCCATTTTAGCTTCATTTTCAAAGTAATCTGACATTTCATTCAATAAACTTGTAAATACCCTGTAATAATAAACTGCCAATCAAACAACCATACATTATTGGTTATAAAAATGAGTATAACAGAAAATTGGAAGCACCTTTTATGATAAAAAATTATTAAAAATTTGGCATACAACAATATTTCAGCTGTAAAATGGCATAGGCCGTCCATGCGTATAAATAAATCGTCGAATCCGTTTAAAATCTCTATCAACTGAAACGGTAATGCAGTAAACAGTCCTGACATGGTAACTATTATTCCAAAGATATTAAGATAATTTGGCCAAAGCCCAGAAGCTTTTAAAGTATATTCTACAGGCTTTCCAAATAAGGGTATTTTCATTTCGTTACACCTTCAAAAACCTGAGTTGCAAACACACCTATCAGCCAACAGTCAAAAGTATTACTAGTATGATTTATTCTATCCCTACTTTTGTCAAGCACCAATAAAAATCAAAGTTGTTAGTTTTACGTACAGTATCTAAGGTGATGTTCACATGTTATTCTCCTCTTCTTTTTCCACGTGAATATTGTATTGACCTAAATTACATTCTTTACGTTTCCTTTGAATATTCTTTATTCCACTGTAAAATTTATATTTGAAACTTCCAAGATCTGATGCAAGGTTACCATTTCTAATTATAGTACATGCGACTAATACTATTTTATTGAATGATTGAATATGCATAATAAATATATAGCGCGGAGCTTATTTTTCTACAGTGCTACGAGAAACAGTCTTAAAGTTTTTGTCGGTGAATCAAGTGCTTATATAAAATCCTCACGATTTGAAAGATTTGAAAAAACTATAGGCAGTTATATGTTATTCTCTTTTATGGAGGTAAGATCTCTGTTTTTGAATAATATCCAAACAGTTTGGTTTTATTTTTGCTTACCATAGCTGAGGCTAAAATTTGAAATTCCAATAAATATGGGCTGATGATAAATAACTATCCTTACCTTATATCTTGTATAAATGTATTATCATCTATAATATGCAATAACTTTGTTATTGGCTTTCATTACTTTAACTTAAATTCATAATTAGCAGACTTCTTAACGATGAAAGAACAGATGATCATCTTTATTTTGGATCGAAATTGAAAGTTGGTTACAGCAAATTTAGCTTATTACATTGCATTTTATAAAGCGAAATATGAAGTAAGTTGTATTATTTTAATCTTGAATAATTTAAATGATTTTATCAAATTATGATTTTGTTTGCGTAAAGAATTACTTGATAAACTCTTATCATTGAAAATCGTGCATATATTGCATTATAACTTGTAACAATTATAAAGTAATGGATTAGTTAATTATTCTTTTACTTTTGAAAATAAATCAACCATAACTTTTGAAAAAGGATATTTAAATTTGCGTCAAAATAAAATTATACATTATGGTTATTGTGGTACACAAAATAGGATGTATATATATATATATATATATATATATATATATATATATATATATATATATATATATATATATATATATATAAATCTTTCAATCGTTACACGAATTTTAGGACATTTGAATGATATCTGAAAATAAAAAATGACATTATACCATTTACTACAAAAAATTAGTCGTGACGAGATCAATTGACTGTGAAAGAACTTTTAACAGTATCGAATTGGATCGAAAATTTTTAATCCACTATATATTTTGTATATTTCTATATATTTCGAAAAATATACTTTTCACGAGCAGTAAATTTGATTATCAATTTCACGAGCAAAAAAGTCGCACATTATATAGCTGATTTTTAAAATGTTTTTGAGCAATAGAATTATATGTTACTAGCTCTGAGTACGGATATATACGAAAAAGATGTTTTCATCATCTGAAACAATATTTTTATGATCTTCTCGTATGGCTATTTTTTGCTGATCGTCGTAACTTACTGTAGTATATGTTTCTGCAGATAGAGAAGTAAACTTTCCTGCTGTTAGAGTGAGAGGTGTTTGGGATCTATTTATCATATACGAAAGAGCACGGATTTTTTTGGGATTAACTAAATACCAAAATGTGTTATATATCTTGATTGAAATTTTTTCGCTCTGGAAAATAACAAAATAAAATTATTACTTCGGACGCAGACAAAAAAGATATCAGATACTCACTTCATTGATCAGCCTCTGACCAAAAAAGCAAAACGAGTATCCTTGCCACATTGCAGTGGCACCTAACATGCCACACTTAATCATTGTTATGATATCATCTGCCACCTGTGTGAAGAATTCTTTGATAAATTTCTAATGCCTAAAAACCTGCAGCTAATATAACTTGTAACTATGAAAACCACGCAAGAACTTACAGCGATTACAATATATCCAGTAGAACAGATCGTAAATGTACTAAGAAAAACTTGCACGAATGACGCGTAAGTATAAATTGTCTCAATCTGTTGGACAATGTTTAAAATTTTCTGGTGTTGTTTTATTATCGCCTCTGGAGAAACGTCCTTTTCATTATTCAAGCAATTCAATGAAAACTCGTCGATTTTGTCTGAAAGCAAATTAATGTGCCCACAAGCATACAGGACCTACAATTTAATGTTATTTAATGCTTAAGTTTATAAAATGTATTATTTTATTGAAACATGTTGAGTTTAATATAAACTTTACAGGTAAGAATACACGAGAACCATTTTCATAATTCTTTTTGATTATGTAAACTCACTTGTAAAATTGGTGTAGCCATTTCCGAAAACAAAATAGAAAAATAATTTCTGACAGGTAAAAGTTTATTTTACAACACGTGCAATCATATAATTGGATTACATTGGTCTTGGCCTTTTGTCAAAAGGTTCTTCTACTAAAACCAAATAGTAGAACTCTTCGTACCCTGAAGAAAAAGGCAAAGACATTTGACTATAGAAACACACGCATAACTACTTTCGAACGAATTGGTACTATGCTCATTTTGGTTTTATTTTGACACCGAGCACCACGGTGAAGAGTAAAAACAGAATCCATAGTAAAATTACTATAAGTGACGACAACATGTTTCAGAGAAAAATAGATTTGTAATGAAATATTAGCGTACCAAAGCTACCAGAAGAGACTCGGACAAAGCCAGGAGACTACACATGGTCAATCCTTGCACAATCTGAACAAGAGTCATAATTTCGTACATTGGAGAACTTCTGAAGTCAAACGGGTATTGCGCTCTAATCATCATTTCTCTCTGTTCTACTGGTATTTTCAAGTAGTTGAGGATCGTCTGAAGATAATACATCGAGGACGTACCAACGTACATTAAGTAATCGAATTTCGTAAATCGATGCGATGCTGAAATAAACTCTGACCAATATTCTATTTTATCTTCGTTATCATAATCCTCAGTCATTTCTTGCAATAAGCTTTTGAGTCTTCTAAAACGATTTGTATTATTTGTATTATTCAAAAATAATAAATTGAATATAATAAACACGTTACAATAGAAAATACCTTCTGTGATACCAAATTACTAGATATTTAGAGTACAATAATATTTCACCGAAAAAGTTACTTAAATCATCAAGCAATATAAATGTATTGTCGAACTCTTTTAACATATCAATGATCTGAAATGGCATTATTGTGAACAAACTTGACACAACAAGTAAAATTCCAAAAATATTAAAGTAATCCGGCCAAAGTCCGCAAAATTTCAAAGTATATTCTACAGGTTTCCCGACTATTGGAACTTTCATTTCATCGCACTTCGTATAAATTCGAGTTCCGAATAAGCTTATCAATTAGTAATCGAAAGTATTACCTGCTCGGTTCAAATACCACTAGTATGATTCGCTATGTACACGACGTTCTATCCCTACTTTTGTCAACCTCCAATAAAAACGTTAATGTATCTGTTTTGCACGCAGTATCCAAGGTGATATTAATATTTTATTTCTTTTTCTTCCTAAGCATAAATATTGCATCAAGTAAATATACAATTTTTCAAATTTCGTTGAAATATTCTTTAGTCTACTGTAAAATTCATATTTGAAATATCGACTATTTTATACAAGGTTATCATTTTCTATTTTAAGTGCATGTAACTAATACTATTTCATTGAATCAATTGTTATATATGTATATATAGAAAATAATAATATATGTAAAACGAGATAAGCTCATTTTTTTACATTGCTAGGAGAAGTAGTCTCAATGTTTTTGTCATGAAGCTAACAGTAATTTCATCAACTTCCCATGAGTCCCGAAAAGTTTGCTTTTAACTTTGTTTACCATAAATGCAGTCAAAGAGTAAAATTTCATTACTGAAAGGGTGTTTACTAATAATTACTTCTCCCTTCCAACCATACGTGAATATACGTCATAATCTACTCAAAAAAGCACAAGAGCTGTAGTTATAAAAACTTCGCCCAGCAAGTTAATTGCAATGTTTTCAGCTATGTACATTATTTTTTCTACAAGAAGATAAATAAAGTGAGTCAGGATATTTTTATCATTTTACATGTTTGTGAGTGATTATAGTAAATTGAGAGATAAATCTATTAAAAATCATATTATCCGTCTTTTAAATTTGAAAAAATGGTGAAAGCATAATTTTACAAATAGAAAAATGTGATAGATAATTGATTTCAAATATAGTTCCACGAATTGTAGCATATATGAAGACATTGAAGTGATTATTTTGTAGCATAAATTAATCTTTAAAATGCTTCTAAATTTAATCTACGTAATATGGTATGAGTTGGATAATTCAGTACAACATACAATATTTTTTACTTTTGACAAAGTAAATAAAGTCTTTACTCTGCGTAAGCGTGCCCACTTCTTTCTCATAATATTTAATACATACCGTATATTCAAAATTATTACTGTGAGTCCAGTGAATTTTGTAATAAAAATATATTTAATTTGTTGTCGCATGATGGAATTAGTAACTTGATGTTTACCTGTATTTCTGAAGGAACGTATCAATCTTCTGTAAATTAATTAAGGCTCAAGCAAAGAAATCATCTACCATTCAGAATCATATTTAACAAAAAAATTGAAAAAGAAAAAGAATATTTGTTAACAGCAGAATGTCATATTCATTGCTAAATGAAACCCCGCTAGTAATGTCCTTAGCTGAGTGATATTTTTCTATTGTATTCTAAACAAATCATAAATTTGATTTAGTTGTTCGTTTGTGAAAAACAATAAAATGCCAAAAGCATAATTATTACTTGTTTCAAATAAAGACTTTATAGATTATACTTCTTTTGTTTTCACGAAAAAACTAACTATTACGGAACTCAAAGAGTAGTACATTCCGATACGAGTGATGGAAAGTAGTTTACCGTCTCGCTTAGCACTTACGCCCGAGCGAAACGAGTACTTGTATCGTAATGTACTATTGATTAGAAATAAATAAAAATTAATTAGATTGATTTATAATTAGATAAAGGGCCTTTCCACGTACAAAAATAACATTCTTCATTGCCTATATATCGGTCATAAAAACAAAACTGAAAGTGCTGAATGCACATTTTTGACTAAAAGGTGTTTCACGCAATATTAAGGCCAGTTATTGAAAATAAAAATATCACGTGATAGCGGAATATGAGATTTTTAAAATTGTAATCCATCAAAGTGGGTGACGTGTAGTGTCGAACGTCATTTGAACCTGTACTATCACGGCCTCTTTTATGCACAATATATTGTCGATATCGTCGTATATTAGTGCGAGAAAGTGATTTAAGCTTCGTGTGGTCTCTTCGCCCTCGTTTCGCTCAGGTGCAAACGTCCATACATGGTTGAAATTACTTTCTCGCGCTAGTATCAGCATTGCAATGTACTATTATAATCTTAAAAATTAAATTCATAAAACAAAAATGTGTAGGATTCGAAATGAAATATATAATACTATTAATTGTAAAAAAATGGATCTATAACTGTGAAATAGAATCTAGACTATAATCGTGCAATAATATAACTTGAAAAATCATGAGTGTTAAGATCAAGCAAATCGACGTGAATTCCAAACGTTATGTGCTGTGGACATATTTGCGATGCTTATATATTTTGAAGATGATTTGTTTATTATTATTACTCAGTCTTTAAAACCAGTAATTCCGACTACTAGTTTCTTCGAAAGACTTGATGGATGTCGATTCTATTTAAAAGTCATATATTTATTCTTTAGAGGCTCTGATGACGGAAATGTACGAAAAAGAAGTTTTCATCATCTGTAAAAATTTATTCCATATCTTCTTTTAAAATTGATTGTAAATACTAATTGCAGTAACTTACTGAAGTAAACGTTGGAGCAGACAGGGAAGTGAATTTTCCCGCTGTTAGTGCAAGGGATCTTTGAGCTCTACTAATCATGTAAGAAATTGCGCGAATTTCTTTGGGATTTTCATCATGCCAAAATGACTGATATAATTTGTTTGAAATTTGTTCGCTCTGGAATATAAATAATTTAAAATATCATTTCTGTATGAGTTTTACAAAAAACATAGCCGAAATTCACTTTATTAATTAGTCGTTGACCAGAAAAACAAAAGGAATATCCTTGCCATACCGCAGTCATACATAACAGGCTATACTTGATCATAAGCACGAGATTATTCGTTACCTTACGTAAAAAATATTTTCATAAATATTTAATCGGAAAAATTGTAAATCCACATTATTTGACCACTTACCGCAAGTACAATATAAGAAGAACAACAAATTATAAACGTACTGAAAAATACTTGAATAAAAGATACGTAAGTATAAACTGTCTCTATGTTGTTGACGATATCTAAAACTTTCAGATGCTGCTTTATTATTAGTAGTAAAGACGAATTTTTTCTAGTCGTTCTACAATTTATTGAAAACTCTTCAATCTCATTAAGAAGTAAATCAATGTGCCCGCAAGCATGCAGGACCTAAAATGGAATATTATCATTACATTATAAAAATAGTTTGAAATTTACGTAAAACCTGATCACTTAATTCTATGTTGACATCAGTTCCGGTTTTCTAATATATCTAAATATAAAGATGTAATGGGAATAACGTGTGAATAATTTAGACTTGAATATGATATAAATCAATGATGTGTGTATTTACAAATCTCTGGGTATTGTGATACTTTCTACTTGAGCTACATCAAATTTCACTTTGATAATAAATGTCATCTTACCAAAGCCACGAGAAGAGACTCTGACAAAGCTTGGATAGAGCACATTATCAATCCTTGAATAACTTGAATAATATTCAGAATTTCATAAGTTGGAGAACTTCTGTAGTCGAACGGGTATCGTGCTCTAATCATCATTTCTCTATCCTCAACTGGTGTTATTATATAAAACATAATAAGTTGTACATGATAACTTGCGGAAGCAAGTGCGTACATTCCATAGTCTAATTTCGTAAAGCGACGCGACGCTGAAATAAGCTCTGACCAGTATTTTATTTTATATTTATTTTCATAGTCTTCAGCCATTTCTTTTAGTAAAGTTTTGAATACACTACGATGATTTATAGCCCATTAAAACATAATAGATTACGTTATAATATCAAACAGCTAAACACACCGTCTATGCCAGAATATTATTAAAAATTTAAAATATAACAATACTTCAGCTGAAATTTGACTCAAGTCATCCATCACTATAAAGATATTGTCGTATTCTTTCCAAACATCCAGAAGCTGAAATGGTATCAAAGTGAACAAAGCCGACATTACAATGATTACTCCAAGAATATTGAAGTAATCTGGCCAGAGTCCGGAAACTTTTAAAGTATATTGTAGAGGCCTTGCGATTATGGGAATTTTCATTTTGTCCCACTTTTCAAAATACTGACTTATGTTTATATTTATTTTTTTGTCAACTGAAAATATTACCTCATCCAAGGTTCAAAGATTACTGATCTTACTATCGGCATTATTATCAACTAGAGTTCGTCCCCACTTCTTTCATTTACCAATGAAAACGTACACTTTCTGTTTTGTACACGGTATGGCGATATTAATTTTTTATTTCATTCCGTATAAATACTTCTTCTAAATAACAGCCTATTTACATTAGTAGGTCTAATTTTCTCCAAAGCATGCTAGGCCACATGTGCAGAATACAGAGCGCGACGCTAATTTTATCATCATATATTTTAGATTCGATGCATCAAATATTGATATTGATAATACTAGAACTGAAATCTTCTATGTTTTTTTATTCGAATAATTCAGTGATATGTAAACGCTCGATTACGCGAGTTCCTGAAGCCGAACCACATTTACGTTTATATTAATGGCAAAGTAGCTTGCATTTTATTCTTTACACTTTCAACTACATTTCAAAAAATTGAAAAAAAAAACACGCAAATTTTATAATGAAATGATTTTATGAACTGACGTACACTCTTTGAAGCTCGTTAATTGAGTAAAAAGTGTTTTGAAAAGAAAGAAATCTTATGACTGTGCTTGTGAAGTGTGTGCTTCATCGTAATAACGTAAAAATAGCGTCATAATCTGATAATAAGAGACATTTAGGTTTTATAATAATGAATAGTGTATTATCTTCAATTATTATTTCATTTTTGTTTAATTTAATATTATATTTTTTTAAATGATGCGTTTCTTTTGAAGTTTAATTTTATTATATGACCTCTCGCTCTATTTTATACGCATGTTAGTTGGCATCTCTTAAGATATTGAATCAGAGATATAAAGTAACACGTGCATCAAATGAAGCGTACATAAAAATGTTATCCTTGGTTAAGATAGAGAGCTATCGACTATCTGCTTGGCGGTGACAAATGTCATCTGATTACCAGTTTCTAAAACAGATATCTAGTTGATTTTGTCAATTTTAAAAATTATGAAGATACAGCTCTATGTGTTACATGCTTTGAGAACGGAAATATATGAAAAAGATGTTTTCATCATCTGGAAAAGAGCGCGAATGATTTTTATAAGAGTTGATCTATATTATGAAATATAGCAACCTACCGAAGTAAAGGTTTGTGCAGATAGAGATATTAATTTTCCCGCTGTCAGTCTGAGAGGTAGGTGTGCAACATTTATCATATAAGATACAGCCCTAATTTCCTTGGCACTTACACAATACCAAAATGTGTTGTATATTTTCGTAGAAATTTTTTCACTCTGAAATATATAACATCCACATTAATATATTAAATATATTTATACAAACTATGTGATATTTACCTCATTGATCAGCCGTTGACCAACAAAACAAAAGGAATATCCTTGCCACGTAGCACTGACGCATAACATAACAAACTTGCTCATTATAACGACGTCATCCGTTAGCTAAATAAAGGACATATCGATAGACTTGTAAGAATGACAAATTCTATACGTGAGAAAATATAAAAATATTAAAAACTCCATTATAACTTACAGTGAGTACAATAAAACCAGAACAACAAATCATGAAGGTACTCAAAAAGACTTGAATGAATGACGCATAAGTATAAACAGTCTCAACTTTGTGAACGATATTTAAAACTTTTAGGTGCTGTTTTATCATCGATTTGAGAGAAATATTATTTTTATCATTCATGCACATTACTGAAAACTCATCGACCTTTACTGAAAGTAAATCTATATGCCCGCAAACATGTAGAACCTAAATTGATAATCGCACTTAAAAAATATCTTATTTTAAGTAAACATATAAACTGCCTTGGGGTTATTTGATCGTAAAAAGCGTTATTAATTAGTTTTGTAATCAAACTATCTTAATTATCAACTTAATCAACTTAATCTTATCGAAAGTTAACTTACCAAGGCTACAAGGAGAGACTCGGACAAAGCTTGGATACAGCAGCATGCCAATCCTTGAACAATCTGGATAAGAGTCATAATTTCGAACATTGGAGAACTTTTGAAATCAAATGGGTATTGTGCTCTTATCATCATTTCTCTATTTTCAACAGGTGTTACTGCATAATTGAGAATAAATTGTATATAATACATCGAAGCAGTACCTGCATACATTGCATAATCAAATTTTGAAAAGCGGTGCGACGCTGAAATAAGCTCTGACCAATCTTCAATTTTATCTCCATTTTCGTAATCTTCTCTCATTTCTCTTAACAAACTGTTGAATACGCTGTAACAATATACCATTGTTCCAAAAGTAATAGATTAACATGAATATAATGAGGTTACAATAGCAAATCTGAACGCACCTTTTATGATACCAAATTATCAGAAATTTGGAATATAACATTATTTCACCTATAAGATGACTTAGGTCGTCCAAGATTATAAATGTATTGTTAAATTCTTTGAAAATATCCCATACCTGAAATGGTATCAATGTGAACAATCCTGACATGATAAAAATTACTCCAAAAATATTAAAGTAATCCGGCCAAAGTCCAGAAATTTTTAAAGTATATTCTACTGGTTTTCCAATTATTGGAATTTTCATCTCATCACAGTTGAAAAAACTGAAGTTGCAAATGAATTGATCAGCTAGCGAGCGTAAGTGTTTACATACACTGCTCGAACTTCACTGAATCTATTCACCGTATATACGACATTCCGTCCCCACTTTTTCCATCCACCAATGTAAATCTAGTTGGTTTATTTCGAATGTAGTATGCACCACGATCTCAATTATTATACTATTTATTTAAAAAAGACTGTCTTATAATAATAGCATTCGCATCGTCAGATCTGTTTTCCTCAGTACTAGTAGATACAATATGGAGAATTTAGTTGGACCATTGTTAGAATTGAAATAAGTGGTAAAGTAAGTAACGTATTAATTATCCGTAAAATAATTATAATCTTGAGATTCGTGTAAATTTTCTAAATCTTATTCATCTCAAATACTTGGCAACCACTGAACTTGTGTCATCATAAATAAAATTCACTCGAGCTCTACACATGAATATTATATTAGCTAAATATGTAGTTCTTTACATTTGTTTTTCATATTATCTAGCGTATCATACTTCAAAGCTGCACTACACGACAGAAGGTTGTTATTTTCTATTTAATAATATTACTTTTCTGAATTTGTAGATATGTATAATTCAAAACCAAATACTCGTTGCACTTCTGTTTCCTAAATACCAGTTAGTCTTGAATTGTTGTCATACAACAGTAGTAGTACACAAGCGTTAGTTTATTATTTTTAAATATCAACAAATTATAAATTATCAAAATGCACACGAAATTCTATGAACGTTAATTGATTTGTTTATTTATTGACTTGATATTCAGAAACTAGCGCTTTTTCGAAAAGGTGTAACGTCTTAAAATCAAGTGCTCAAACGTCTTAAAATCAAGTGCTTCGTTGACAGATCCTTTTTCGGTCTATCAACGTTCAGTAAAATTATTTAAAAAATTGTTAACGTTTTCGATTATTAAATTATTCAAAATACTTTTGAATACATAATTTAATTATTCAGCGATATTTTTTGTAGTTATCAAAGTGACAAAAAAAACGTCAATAAATTCTTTCGCATCAAAAATTATAATTCAGGTGACGATGTGTCTAATGCTTATTAACTTCACAAATAGACAATAGTCTTGTGTCAAATGGAAATATACTTGGTACAAGAAATATTCCGTTAAAAATCTCATCGATAATTTAAGAAGCTATAGTCTTAAGAAAGTATTAGTAACGTAAAGTAAAACACTAGTTACCAAGGACTTATACTAAGCATCAACAGCTCAAAAAATTATCTCATGATATTTCATGAAGATATTAGTAATCATGATTCGACCAAATTTATTGAGTAGGGAAAAACTTTTATAATTTAAATAGAGAACTAAACAACTAAAATGTCAATGCAGGTTCAAGCTGCTTCAAAAACTGAATGTTACGTTGCACGACTTCTCACTTATTGTATTTATTTATTACAAAACAACATCTTCTACATGCGTTCTCTTCCAGTTCAAAAATACACAAAAAGAAACTAATTCTAATCTTTAAGTGTAAACTGCGCGAAGAACAGATAAGTATGAAAACGATGTTTTCAAAATCTAAAATAAAATATTTAATAATAATTATAGTAAATATATTATTTTATTGAAATTATTTATAACAATACAATTTCATTTATCGAATGTAAGTTACCTGGGCAAATGTATTGATAGATAGTTGAATAACTCTTCCGCCATTCAATGTTAATGGTTTTTGTGCATTGAATAAAATAAAGGATACACTTCTCACGTCCGTCGGTCTACTTTTATACCAAAAAGAATTGTATATAAGATATATAAGAGATTCACCCTAAAAAATTAAAAAATATTGTCATAAAACAGATTATTACATAGATATACAAAAAAATAAAAAATTGTCTGAGTCAAAAACGCGGCACATGTATTCCAATCTGTTTCATAGCCTGCGATTAAAATTTCTTCATCGACCCAAAGAAAGCCCGTTCACTTAATGCAACGGAAACTTTAATTTTCAAAACGTGGAGTTCAATGGCAAAAACTGGAAGGTAATATTGCGTCTCTGAATCAGATACTTTTTGTTTTTTGTGTATACCAGTATTATAATTGGTAGAAATTTTAACGTAGCGATGGTCGTACTTTATTTCGTAGATATTGGCCAGCAATGCAAAATGTAAAAGCTTGCGAGAGCATCGCTATAATATATGCGACAAATTTGAACAAAAGAAATATATTCGAAGACTCCACTGCCTGAAAGTATTTTCAAAGTCGTTGCTGATAGAGTTTTTGAATGGTTCAAAATATACTTACAGTTATCATTACAAATCCAGTTACACAAATAATAACGTTACTAAAAATAATTTGAAAAATAGATATATAACTGTAAATATTATCAATATTTTGAACTAAATACTGAATATTTTGATGTTCGATTACAATACTTTTTATATTTTCAGCAATTTCCCTACTTTCGACATTATTTCGAATACTGCAACTGTTCGAATATTTCAAAATATAATTTTCCATTAGGAATATACGAGCTCCAATATGAAGAACCTGAAATGATGAATGAATATACGTGAAAAATTTGTAAGTTACGATGCTTCAATAAAACTTACATAGGTGACTAGCAAAGATTTACTTAGCGTATCAACGCTCATCATAACAATTGCTTGGGATATTTGTGTTAAAAACAAAATTTCATACCACGGTGAATGTTGGTAACCAAACGGATAATAAGATTGAAATAATAATTGTCTTGCTTCAATCGGTTTCTTCAAGTACGTTGATATCAAATCTGGATAGTAAAATACTGCTGCACTTACATATAGAGATATGTCAAATTTACAAAACAGATAGCAATAACGCGCCAAGAGTTTCCATTCTTCAGGTAAACTTTTCTGATTCCAATCATCGTCGATTCTTCTTATTAAGTGATTTATTTGGCTATCATTGAATATAAGTATTTTAATGAATGCTTAACTAATCTTCATTTATATATTAATAGTACACATTAGATGCAAACTTGAAATACCAATTTTAAATTATGCAAATTACAACAAGATGCCTTGATTTTGAAAAGTTCTAAGACATTCTGAATCATGTCAATTTTTCAAAAATTTCAATTGTATTCATCGAATGCAAAAAACACCGAAAAATGATATAATCTAACCTCTTACTCTTCCATATGGCAAAGAGTTTGATAAGAATTAATATCTCAGCTAGAATGTCGCTCAAACTATCCATTAGCAGAACAGGATTGTCAAATAACAACAAAACTTTCCAAAACTGAAATGGTAAAGTTGTTACCAGTGTCGAAAGTAACAAGAATGGGCCTAAAATGTGAACGGAATATGGCCAAACACCACTCACTTTCAAACAAATTTCTAATATTTTGTTTATTAACAAACTCATACTTGATATTTTGATATTTTTTTTAAATTACTAATTGTTTGTCTTTGGTTCAAAAATATTGCACTCGCGTGCATTAATTTATTGCAACGATGAAAAATAATTTGAATTTTTTAAGGCTTTTAAGACGGTAAACGTATTCACGCCGCACCGCTCGACTACTCTGTCTACAGCTCGACCAATGGTAGTTGCGTCAACGTTTCCTTGGAGATTTTAGTACTTTATTATTGATGCAATTCATAAAGCATAATGTATTGCAAATCGTGAACCTGCGTTGCGGATCTGCAAACTATGTTGATACCAGTAATCGCTTGATAATTTTCAAATCTATTGAAGCGCTGTGTAATTTTAACTTAGAGCTTGCGCACACGGAAGACTGCTATAGATACCTTACAAGAATTATGTACTTGGTCTTGTCATTGAATACTTTTATAAGACCGACCGGCTGCTAATGGGTATATTTTATTTTACATTTATTCATATTGTGTATTTTTTATTTAAATTGAATGAATAAATTCTTGAGTGTGTCGTTTAAAATTTGAATGCAAAGTTTATTATAAAAAAATATACTAAAATATAGTATATTATCGTGAGCATTAAAAGACAAGTAAGCAAATATAGGAAAGAAATCGCATCGAGTGCACGAAACGCCGAATGTTTAAATAATATTCTTCGCACGATGAAAGACAGTGCTTGCTCTCCATGGCGTATATGACATAAATTTCAAATTCATTGGTAAACCGCTCGAAGAACTGACAGGTAAGATACTGATGTCTTTAAAATCTGAAAAAAAAACAATAAATTGGATTGTTATTATTAGATTTTCTCGTGGAATATTTTGAATAAGTTTGTATCTTGTCTATAATTCATTTGTATAGAAAATAGAAAAACAACTAAAAAGATAATTAGCATCTTAAATAAAAATATTTTTAAGATGATACTTTATGCTTGCCTTATATTTTTAACGACATATTTAATGATCGCATGAATATTTATATATAAATTCTGGAACATAAAAATTACGTATTTCGATATCAGATTCTACGGCAGAATCAGTACTCATAACTAACAGAAGGGAGAATTTATGTTTAAAAGCAATAACATCTATGTTAATTATCGCTCAGGTAAATTGAGAAAACTGACATTTAAGTAAATAGAATATTGTTTTACAGGCAAAAAAATAGACGTATATGTAATCGTAATACATTTCATTGAAAAGTTAAAGTTCCACATCAATGTGGTATTATAAGTGTATTTTATTTTTTGCTTAAATAGTATGAAAACTATTCAAATATACATTTTATAGTATACCTTCACGAACGTGTTGATGGACAATTGAAATATCCGACCTCCAGTTAATTTTAAAGAGGCTTGAGCTTTTGACAATACAAGCATTACTGATTTTATTTCATTTGGGGGGGCTTTATACCACAAACAACTGTATAACGCAGATATAATAGACTCGCCCTGGTATGAAAATTAATAGGCCAACATTTGTCAACTTGTTGCACAAAAACTTAATGAATACATATATTCTGAGCAATTTCAATTACCCTGTTTTGAAGGTATTGTCCAATAAAGCAAAATGAAAAAACTTGTAATAACATTGCGAAAATGAATAGAATGAATTTCATCAAAAGTATTAAATCTGATGATTCCATTGCCTGAAAATTACATTTTCCTCTTAATAAACAACATTTGTTAATGAATGTATTTGAACTTACGGTAACTATGACGTATCCAGTAACACAAATGATCAAACTACTGAAACTTATTTGAAAAAAAGATACATTAGAGTAAATTGTATCGATTTTTTCGATAAGTCTCAAAACTTTCAGATGTTGCTGCACTACATGCCTGATATGATATAATTGCTCAGTAGAATTGCCATTGATTACCTTAAAGTTATTCGAATAAATGCATACGTTACTTTTTAATAAATTTATCTGTGCAGAAACGTGTAGAATCTGACGAAACAAAATAAAATAAAAACATGGTGAACATTTCAGACATTTAATATACCAAGTAAATGAATTTCTTACTAAAGTCACCAGAAGACTCTGTGTAACTACGTCTGCAATGATTAGCATTGTACATTGAATGCCTTGAATTATAAATATACCTTCAAATACAGGAGAGTGATGATAAGAAAACGGATAAAACGATGGTAATAACAATTTTCTATTTTCTATAGGTTTCCCGAAATATGAGAAGGCACTATCTATATAATAAAGCGTGCATGATGGTAAGTACATTGAAATATCAATTGTAAAAAAAGTGCGACATATACGCGCAAGAATAAGCCATTCGTCAGGTAATTCTTTTGAATTCCAATCTTCTAATAAGTCCTTCATGATCTCATCAAGGATTCTGGAAAATAATATCATAAAGCAAAAATTAGTTTTGGGTTTTCAATAAAAAATAGTTAGGCGTTCTTATACATATTGCGAAATAGCTGATAAGATGTCTATATTAATGTATAATTGAGTTTAGTATTTACGTATATAATATGTAAATAAATTTCATGTAAAAATAACATTTGTTAGCTGAGTCTGAAAATAAACTTCTGAATCAGAAAAACTCAACCTTTTATTTTTCCACACAAAAAACATTTTAATGAGGATCAGAACTTGTGTCAACATATCACTTAAATTGTCCATCAAAACTGCAGCATTTTGGCTCATAGTGACCGCATTCCACACTTGAAAAGGCATCGTTGTTAAAGCTGACGACGACAATATTAATGGGCCAATAATGTTAAAATCATATGGCCAAAGTCCAACCATTTTCAAACAAAGTTCAAATAACTTGTTAATCATTAGTGACATAATTTTAATATCGATTTTAAAAGTGATAACTTCAATATAGATTCAAAGAGTTGGTTTGTTCTTATCTATCGTTATTTGAGAAGCAGAATATTGTTCACTTTGATGTGTTCATGACAAACTTATCCCCTCTCTCAGCTTCATTGTAATATATCCATATAAACATGCAGTCCATATTCAGGTAGTTAGCTGGACAAATGCATAAATGTTGCATTAATCAGACGTGTAATTTGCTCTTTTTCTTCTCAATATTCACAACTCTCATGAGATATTCAGAAGGATGCGCACAACCTATAAGAAATAAACTCTGTACGCCCACGATCTTATGATGTTACTATTACATGCAGTGTCCAACTTTCTTCATGCTACTAACAAGGTTTTTATGAGCATTTTTCAATTTTAATGCCGCTTAAATAACAAAGTAAATGTACTTCGAGATTACAAGAAAGTACTACAATATTTATATTTTACAGGTAATAAGCAATCATACTCAAGAGAATGATCAAATTTGATTGTAGAATTATTTATAGTGAATTTGAAAACGATGAAACATAGTTCAGAGATTTGAGATTGCGATAAATATGAATTTATTAAATTTCAAAAAATAAGATACTATCATTGAAATACGAAAAAGCAGTAACTTATACTCAAAAATAAATTACTTACGCATAAACTTGCAAACACTAAACATTTCGACTTTACTTATGACTTCTTATAAATTTCGTTATAACAGTTATTGCTTACATCAATTTATGTTACAATTTCACAGTGATTATATTTTTCTATATTACTTTAATTGGTTCAGATTCTATCGTTCGTATGAATGTAATTTCGTAATATTCAGAGATGAAAAATTATCATAATTTTATTAACATATAAAATATTTAATTTACTAACAAGATTAAAATAATGTTTTAATATTTTACTGACTATACATCCAGTTTTCAATATGTTTAGTCAATACGTATTTCAGCGTACGGCTCGGACAAGTGATAAATATGAAAAAGAAGTCTTAACAATCTAAAAGAAATAAATTATATACCGTAATGTTAATATTAATAATCAAACAATAACTATCAATTATAAGTTTTTTGTATGAATGTTTTTACCGAAGTAAAATAAATGAGCGATAGATCATTAAATTTTCCCATTGTCAAGGTCATTGGCTTCTGAGCTTTGAATAACATAAACTTTACCGCTTTTTTATTGTCAATAGAGAACTCGTACCAATAACAATTACAAAATTCATAAAAAATAGTCTTACTCTGAAAAATTAATGATGTTCATTATTAATATACTTTGCAGAATAAAAAATACGAACCTGATTATTTAGGTATTCTCCGCAGATACAATAAAACCCTATAGTGATTAAAAATGTTATAGTAAGTACGGCATAATGTATCATATCTACAAGCTTAGCTCCTCTTTCTAGCCCCTGTGGTAAAAATGAACATCTATTTATGTTAATACGATAATAAGGGAAACGTTTGAACCGTTCATTCTTACATCAATGAACATAAATCCAGACATTACTTGTAACAATGTTAAGAACGATATATGAAAAAAGGCCACGAGAGAAAAAATATCTCGAATATTTTTCGAAAATTCAATAAACTCCAAATGCTTGCAATATAATCTACATAAAGCTGATAACGTACTCTCTCTGTCATCGATATTTCTTTGACAAATTTTCGAATAGTTTGCAATTTCTCTTTTCACTATAGCTATTTTTGAACATGCATGTAAGACCTGCGCAAGATAACCATTAAAAACTTATTACGAATCTATTTAAAAATAATCACTCACTTTACCATCAGTGAACGTCATATTTCACTCAAGACGTTTGATGTATTTTTCTTTCATTTGATCAAGTTGACAATAGTGAAGTCGAATGATAATTTTTCAGAAAATTCTAGTATTTATTTCCAATATATTAAATGAAAAATGTATAATTACCAAAGTCACGAGAAAGCCGTCGACTAGAGCATGTGCATTGAAATGTATGGACGCAGTAATAAATTGGCCAATAATAATAATTTCGTAAAAAGGTGATTGTCTAGCGTCCATCGGGAATTTGACACGAGCAAGAAACTTCCTATCCGGAATTTCATCAAAAATATAAGAAGTTACAGTTTGGAGGAAATAAGTAAAGTTCACCACGTTATCCATTATAATGATAAATATTGCCACGCGTTGAAAACGTGTGCCGTTTTTCTTCATAACTTCCGATCTTATACTTTCAAGTCGCCAATCATTTGACATCGTAATAATCATTCCCTTAATGTATCTGATAGATATAGAGTGTACGTATTTTCAACTGAAACACAATTAATTATTCAACAATTACCTACGTTTCCAGCGAAATGTTGCTATCTTGCATAGCCCAAGGAAGACCCCAACAGTAGAAACCAAATTATCCATGAGCAATTCAAGATTATTTCGGATTTCAACGATGTCCCATATTTCAAAAACTAGAAAGAAAAATGTGATTCCTATGCCGAAATAGAAAACTGACAGCAGCGGGCTCGTAGGCCACGCTCCGACTACCCGCAAACTAATCTGATGATGTTTGATGAAAATATCAGTAGTCATGGCTCCAAAATATTTCTACAAATTTAGCACATTTCAAACGGAAAAACTTTTAGAAATTATTTTTGTACAGGTCGCCTGAACAAACAATGAGTCGACGCGAAATTGAACGATGTATTAGCATGAAAAAGGAAAACTAAATGGACATGGTGCATTCGAGCAAAACTGCGCATGTACACACGAAAAGAGAAAATGGTTTCAAGCTCATCGCGTAACATATTAATGTGAATTGTGTTGGGGTGCGGTTGCAGAGCATGAAATTTTTATGCAGAGCTGCCACCGCTTGCGTAGCATTGTATAGGTGTTATATACAAACATGGTAAATAAATTTTCGACGACAATCAAAATTCACAGTAGGGGTCATTCGGATCCATTTTTCTCGGTACCCGTAGTTACGTTATTTAATATTGCCATGAAAGTTGTGGGATGTACTGAATTATTCTATTTCTATCCTCGAGTATACCAAGTCGTTAAACTTATACGGAGATTGTGCTGGTTCTTCTAGAGAAAAAAAACAGCGAGCAGTTTTTTCAAGTATGAACTATTATGATGTGATGAAAACTGTTGCCATTCCGAAGAACAAAGATTGAATAACGATATTTAAATATAGAGATGTATAAATATACACATTTTATCTAACAAAGAACAACAACTACTTGGCGCTTGTTACAAAATCCCCAAATTTCAGCGTGGAAAACTGTACAATAGTTGTAATTGATTGATTGTTAACTAAGAAACTTGTTTCGTTCGCTTTAACGGGCTGCGCGCACTACGGAAAGGTATGAAAACGAAGTCTTCATTATCTGAAACAGAAATACATTAGTTTAAAAAATTGCAACGAACGCACTCCGAGATAAATATTAATTGCTATATTATTTTGTTGTTACTGCACTAGAGAAATTTGATTACACTTGTTAAGTAAATGAGCGACAAGTTACTGAATTTTCCGACAGTCAAGTGAACCGGTTCTCGAGCTTTTGCAAGCATGAAGTTGACTGCTTTCTTATCTTGATTGGAAAAAGTGTACCACATACAGTTGTAAAGGTCGTTGAAAATCACCTCGCTCTGCAATCAAATCAAGATTATTTCGTGCTTTGCGTAAAATCTGGTAAACGAACCTGATTTGTCAAATATTCTCCAACAATACAATAATATCCCGTACTGACTAACAATGACATTGCTAGAGTTGCATTGTGAATCAAAATTATAGGCTCGGAACCTTTTTCTAACCCCTGCACAGATATCAAAATATTTACCGTTTCATTGTTGATTTCCTACAGCTTCGCATAGAAACTCACGTCTAAAAATAAATATGCAGACGTCACTTGTAACAAGGTTAATGAAAATATGTGAAAGAAAGTAACAGGTGAGAAAATTTCTTGGATAACTTGTGAAAATTTGACAAATTCTAAATGTTTCTGAACTAATCGCTTCAAAGCCACTAGAGTTAACGTTCTATCGTTCATATTAGTCGAATACGTAGTTGAGAACGTCGAAATTTCCCTCTGAACAAGATTAATTTTTGAGGATGCATGAAGAACCTTCGCATTGAAACAATCGTATGTACATATATACTAATGTTTCGTTACGACAGAACGACAATTGATGGCTTCAAACACAAGTCGAGTCCATTAACAATGAATATACTTTTTTGTTTAGTTACCGCGGTGACAAGCATCCCTTCGATAAAGGCATTGGAATTAAAACATATTGATGCAGTGATCACTTGGCCGATGAAGATAAATTCATAAAGCGGCGATTGCCTCGCGTCGACGGGAAAAGTAACTTGGGCAAGGAATTTTCGATCCTGCACCTCGTCGACCACGTAGGACGCTAAGGTTCTCAAAACGTACGTCATGTTCATCGAGTTGTACATCACAATTATACATTTTGATATTAATTGAGATCGAGTACTATTTTGCAGCATCACTTCCGATCGAGGCTCTTCGCATTTTGAATTTTGCAAGTGGTCGTCGGAAATTGTGTTTATTACCAGCGTGAGGCTTCTGTCATTTTACATGAAAAAATATAAAGTATAAATTGTTTTTGGGAGAATTCGTTAATCGATCGGCAATATTTACTTATGTTTCAGATAGAAAATTGTGATTTTACATAAACCCAATACGCATCCGATTGATGAGACGAGGTTGTCCATGAGTACTTCAAGATCATCGTACACTTCGACGACATTCCACACTGCAAAAATCATTAGAAATACTGATATTCCCATACCAAAGTAATATCCCATTATAAGGGGACAGGTTGGCCAAGCCCCGATGATCCGCAAACCAATTTGATGATGTTTGATAAATATTTCGTTCAACATTTTTGATTAATTTATCAAAGACCAATTCACTCTTTTACACCGTGCTCGCGGGATCAGCTTATCAATTAAAGTTTATAGTGTATCTAGTACTTAAACTTATGACATGATCCATCAGATCGCAGCTGGGACATTCGATTCAACGTAATCTGTTTTTTTTTTTATAATTTAGTTCCTCTGTATATTTAAAAAAAAAACAACCACTCTACAAGCTGACCAACAGAGGTGGAATTGCAGAGTACATTTTTATGATGCACTTGTCGCGAGCACTGGGCATATCTCTGCGCGTCATAACTTTTAGCTATAGGAGAAATATCTCATTTTTTATGCAAATAGCTTAATGGAAGAATTGGAAAGCATTATAAAATTCTGTGTAAAACCTGCACTTAAAATATTACTCTGTATACCTTTCACGCGAACATATAAAGTGAAATTGAAATGTGTGTATACGTAGTTGCAGCATGAATAAATAAGAATGCGCAAGGGAAGGAGGACTTGCAGCATGGGGAGGCTTGCATCACAAGCGCCATATTAGTTTAGTTTCACGAAAAAAAAAATTTTATATGTCGTTCGAATGTTGTGCTAAAGTTAATAATAAATTGTTGAAAGTACATCCAAAGAGCCATTTCCTACGAGTTTAGCATATTAGAAATTATGTCTATATCTTTATTAGGAAGGAATACCTATTTCAAAATCATAGTATAGATATCAAACAAACAATAAAATCACCACGAGTTTCCAACACTCAAAATATGTAAAATATAAAAAAAGATGTTACTATCTGAAATTTGACGACAAACGGCATACAGTCCTAAAAGTTTCATCCTGTTCTATGCTAAAAAAGCATGTTAATATCATATTTTGTTATTTCAAGATACGTTTGTTTGAATATCTTCAGCTAATTCTCAGGTGTTGCTTTACAATAAACATCATTTCTTCAAATAGTGGCTGTTAGTTTTGGTTTTATTCGATGAATTTCATTTTTTATTGAAACCATTGTTTATCATTTAAATATTCTAATACGAATAGCATTTTCATACTGTTTTGCATAATAGTCGGTTTATCTCGCGTTAAATCTCAAGCATAGACTGCTCTTAGAACAGATAGATACGACAAAGATGTTTTAACAATCTGTAAAATAAATGTTTCGGTAAATGGGTTAATAGATAAACGAACGCGCTAAATTGTGTGCCAATGAAATCGAATGTTTGAAGATTGATATCAGTGAAGAATTGAATTGACGAAACTCGAGCTTTTACCATTGTAAAGCTATTTGCAGAAAGTTCAAATAATTTACCGCCACTCAGAGTCAAAGGATTTTGAGTCTTAAATAGTATCAGCGACAACATACGAACTTCTTGTGGAGTTCCAGCGTACCATTCGCAATCGTATACGGCATGAACAAGTGATTCGCCCTGGATTTAATTAAAGGTCGAGTGTTAATTTATTCGTAAATTATATAGGTAAAATTATAATTGCAATACCTGATTCCGCAAATATTGCCCAGCGAAGCAAAATGTAAAAGCTTGAAGAAACATCACAAGGATGAACATCAGAAACTTTATCAGGTACAGCATGTTGGTTAAATTAACAGCCTAAAATGAAAGCAATCGTCGATAGATGTACATTTTTTAATACAGTTGAGATGAGCGTCATTATTTTTCCATTACAGTAATCAAAACGTATCCAGTGACGCAAATAATAACATTACTAAAAAGCAATTGAAACAATGAGACGAAGGAGTAAACAGCATCAATTCGATCAACTATATCTAAAATTTTCACGTGTTGTTTCACTATCCGTTTCAAAAGAAACATAAAATTATCTTTGTCACAACGATATCCTCCGTGTAGTTTCCGACTAGAGACAATACTGTCTGAATATACTCTAAGGTAAACTTTAAATAATGCCATGTGTGCACTTGCATGTAAAATCTAAAAAATTAGATGTATTCATAGTCAATAATCTAAATATTATAGAATTAATCAATGAAGCTAAGAGTCGTTAATAATTGTTAGAAATCAATGTTTTCGATTGTTTGTGCACGTTGGAAATAATGTTTATCGCAAGCATGATTGGTGTTAACGTATTTTATTCTTTGTACACTTAGAATGCATTTTTCTACCGGCAACGTGCTTGTGATCGAGGAAAAGTACTTTTCCTGACAGATGAAGCGTTGCATACTTAAAGCGTGCTGTTAAATCTTTATGTGATTTCCTTTACTCGTATAATTTCTAGTTCCATACCAATGCAGCAAGAAGAGTCTGACTCACTAAATCAGCGGCTACAATAAGTAAACATTGTATGATTTGCACGAGAATCACTATTTCATATATAGGAGAAGAATGATAATCGAAAGGGTATTTCGACGCGAAAAATAGCTTCCTGTGCTCTTTCGGTTGTCCAAAATAAGACAGTACAAGATCTGGAAAATAAACTGTCGTGGCGGTGGCGTACATCGTAATAACGACCCTACAAAATAAAGTACATGTCCGAGAGATCGACTTCCAGTTCGCTGGCAATTTTTTCACTTTCCAGTCATTCAATACGTCTTTTAATAAACCGTTTATCAACCTGAAATTTTCGCACACAAACAATTTTCTTCGAGAGGCTCACGACTGAGAATATTTTATAAAAGAAAATGTTGGTACCTCTTGTTTTTCCACATTATGAATATTTTAATGAGTATTATAGTTTGAGCAAACATATCGCTCAAACCATCCATCAACATCACCGGATTTTCACTTGAAATAAGTGCATACCACAATTGAAAAGGTAAGGTCGTAACAATAGATGAGGCTAAAATCAATGGGCCAAAGATATTGAAATTGTAAGGCCATAGGCCTAAAAGTTTTAAAATGAATTTCAGTGGCTTGTTTATCAATAGTGTCATCACTTTTCATGTATTAACTTTTCAAGAAATATTACTATTTAGATGTTACATGGATAAAGATCGAATGCATCTTACAAAAGGGATGTCTTTTCAATCTAAGATTTTCTATTACTGACAATCAGTAAATGGTTTCAGCTCCGTAGTTTACTGGCCTCGATCAACGGAAAGCCGGTTTATGTGCGGATTTCGATTCCAAGAAAGCAATGAATTTAACATCAGTCCTCACACTAAATCCCGATATTATAATGGACTACTAGTATTACAGTTGGAATATTTAAATCGACTAATCATAAGCTTGGTTCTTACGCAAATACTCGATGTGGGTGCCACATGAAACATTAATAACTAGTATTCTACTCTGCATTCTATAAGAGAGATTTTCAAGCAAATGAAGATAAAAATTACTTGGTCGAAGCTTCGTACAATATGTGTAAAAAATAAACGAAAACAACTAAAGTGTCCAGATTAGCAAGCCATCGGAAGCAATAAATTAAGCAAATGTAAAATAATTAAAAGGACGATAAAAGGAACATATTTGTGCAATCAGTTATTTCAAATATATTTTTTATTATATAGAAAGAACTAGTTTCTCGTAAATATTACGTATGAGTGGTAATTTTGGTGACTCTACAAAGAAAAACTTACGAATAACAAAGGTCTGTATATACATCTGTGCAGTTAATATGTATAAAAAACACGATAATTATAATTAATTTTTTATGGCTGGAAAGGTCATAGTGCGAATGCTCGGATAATCATGAGCACTTCTAGACATATTAGAATTCCAAAATGTTGCTGCTCATCTGCGTGATATCAGGAACAGATGGGTTAAAATAATTCTTTAGTATTGTTAATCGACGCTCACGCGTTCGCTAACACGCAGAAAAGCTGATTTCGTATTAACTTCCAAAGCGTGAACGCCTGGCATCAGCGCACCATTGGTAGAGGCTCATTCAAAAACATTCTGTGTTGATGCAACGAATGCAGTAAAAATGAAAAAAATCGTCGATACGCGTATCATACCCGTAAACACTTTGCAGAGCTAATTGCGATTCAACTCAATTCCTATTAACACGCTCTTTAATTAGTAGCGACATCTCTTGTAATTTTTCAGAACATTCCAATATTCATGCTTATCGTTGGCAGATATTAAGGTAAGGAAGATTTCTTCTAATGGCAACATCTACTGTAGATAATCAAAATGTTGGTACATATTATCAATATAGTTTTTTTATGTCATAGCATATTAGAAATAGATATTTCGCCTATTATCACTATGTAATAACAATGCTCAGGCTTAATTCAGGATCCATTTTCGAGTAAGTTATCGACCATGCTGAAAATACATTAATATCATATTGGTGATTATTGATTGACGAAAAAATAATTTGACTAAATAACAATTTTATTCCACAAATAGTAAATCAAGTAAATGTATCATTCGTTGCTTGAACAAATATTTTAGAATTGTACTTTTACTTTTGACAATGCAGAGCTCACCAACGACGACGTTTGCTCGAGTCCTTGAATGCACATATCTTGTGCTCACGGCAATTAAAATGTAATCATAGGGTGCGATGAAAACGAGCGATTCTACTTTAATGCAACAAGAAAGAAAGATTGTATTCCTCATTCCCGCTTGAAAGACATTAAATGCGTTTTTCTTAAACGAGGATACTTGAAAATTTGCTCCGTTGCCGTTTAGCGTCGCGAGTTGCGGGTACATGCATCGCCGACAATCTCTCGAGTCGAGTTCCTACTAATTCACAACGCGTCCGCCTGTACGGGGGGTGGACGATTCGACTGGCTAATCGCAATTGTTGCAAGAACAAATACGATTCGCTCGGCGACGAGGGCGTGGGACACCGCTGCCATTGGAATCGGCACGGCTAATGATGCCGAAGGCAGGTATTTTCCATTGGATGCGCACCAGGCGAGCCGGCGGCCAATATTACGATGCGTCTAGACGGCATTTGCTGGCTAACCCCGCTGAAATAGATTCGCTCTCAGAGTATAATCGCGACCACGGCAAACAACGACGATAATCATTCGAGCGTGTAGCGACAAAACGAAAAGAATAAAATAAAATAAATAAATAAAAGGACAGCTACCTGAAATCGCTACACATTTATACGGCTACAGGCGTGACCCTCGGGTGCTCTCCACGAGCATATCAGGCGCGAGCACGTTCGAATAATCGATATATTATCCGTGCGGAAAATTGACTCGCACGTTCGGCGTTTTCACATCACATGGGCGCAGCGAGCGCACGTGAAGCGCGCCAGAAGGCCACGTGCACGTGGCCCGGTCGACTTGCGGATCATCGCGAATATTTGATATTGCCGAAGCGTCGAAGGGAGAGGCGGGAGGGGGGTGGCGGCGAAATTCCAAGCCCTTCGCGTGCGTCGAGAGTGCGACTGCGGTGTCTCGTTAAAATTCGTTGCGTCGGTGCTCTTCCGCGAGAACGCACGTGGACAGGTGCACGCATAGGGCTCGGATCGTACCATTCGCTCGCGGACGCTCGCTGCACGTGCCACTCGCAATAATTGACGCGCTTATAAGCTTGTCGGATATCTCTTATCGCGCGGCAACTCGGCGCTCTCTTCTCTCGACGCGAGAGGCGCTGACCTTTGATACCGGTTTTCGGGAGTCAGTTGACTTCAAATCCGCGGCCGATCGGCGCTCTTCGCAGCGGAACGGCGCCCGACCGACGGAAAAATTCGCCGCGACAACATTTACTTTGCATTGGCGCGTGCAGCTCTATTGCAGGCGGCGAAGGCGCACGAGCCATTGGCATGGCATGCCGTCATCGAGAGTATTAGGGACCTCACGGCAAACCAAAGAGGATCTCGGCGGTCTTCGCTGCCGAGATCCATGGCAGGAGGCCGATGGATTGAACGTTATTTTGCCTGGCTACGTGTCGTTGTTTCGACTGCCTTGCGCGCGATTCGCGGCACGCGACAACCAAATCATCTCTCTCGCAGCCTCGCGTAACGAAAGCTCGAGACTCGTTGCTCGCGACGTTTCTGATGTTCCGCCGCCGCCGCCTCGGCGTCGTCGTTTCGCGACCGCGAACAAAAAGCTAAACGATCGCCGCAACGATCGGCAAGGTAAGTTGACCGCTCTCCTCGGCGCGCAGAGTCACGCAAGGCACGCGCACCCCTGGAAATAAAACGCGCTCTCTCGCCCGCGCCAGCGAATGAATTATGCGATGCGGGCGGGTGACGCGAAATGGCTTGCTCTGCCGGTTGTCGGCGAGGCGCGAATATAGAAAGCTTCGCGATCCGTCGGCTCGAGCCTTGCTCGTAAACAACTCGCTCGTCCCCGAGCTGTGCGTCTCGTTCGTTTTGTATGTATTGAAAAGCTTCCCTCGGGACATTGCATCAGCGTTCTCGCCGCTCTCGCGGCTCCGTAAAGTTCATTGACGTCACGAGCGCCGAACAACAAATCCGTGGAAGTGCTTCGGCGATTATATCGACTCCCTATCGAACGGCGTATCGCGATTGCATTCCTCGATCAACGTTGTTTGGAGCACGAGCCATCTCGCGCTCTCGAGTTGCGTGCGTTTTTCACGCTCGAGGATTTAGGTCAAGCAACTCTCGGAACAACAGCAGCGAGCGCAGTACAAAATAAGCTCGCGACCAAGCGACGGAGAGAAGACATTGCGCGTGACGCAACAGGCGCGAGACATCGCGACAACAAGCTGTCGTACACGCGCGAGAGACGAGTGCAGCGAACGAGCGTGTAACGCGAGGTAACTCGCTGGACTTTACGCGGAGTCGCCTGGCCGTCCTGGACGCGAAACGACCACGGGGAGAAAGAAAATTGAATCCGCGATGACCGATTCGCAGCTCGACGCGCGTGTCGTTGGGCGAGTGCCAAACACGCATTGTCTTCGCGCGGCTGGCGGCTCTCCCTTTCTTCCTTTCCCAACTATCGCATCTCGTTGGCGTTCCTACGGATCGAATGAGCATTGTTGCGGGCTTTCATCGAATATTTACGAGCGAGGCTGGTTTTCTTTTGAGAGTCGCGGCCGAAAATCGAGATCGAAATATCGCGACGAGCGTTAACGAGCTACAAAATTGTCTTTTCATTGAGACTCTCGAGAAAAAAATCTAAAACTCACTACACGCACGTGCTTGTCATACCAGTTCTTACTTTATCGATTCCGTAACTCCGGACAATGCGGTGGCCCGGTTTTTTCCCGTCTGTGCTCTCCGTGATATAGATTACGAATCCCGGGCATCGCGCGATAAAATAAATTATTTACCGTGCTCATCGATTCAATAACACGCGCTCTGAAGTACATTGACAATCGTCTCCCGCCTTTGCTGCAGATCGTTCATTCGTTGTTTTGTTTTGTCTATCAACGAAACCAAATAATGACTCATGGAGAATACCCAATTTAATATGGAAATTGCGCGGCTCACATCTCACGTGTGCGTCAAAAACGAATTGTATATTTTTTTCACGCTTGGCCCTCCAATTTTTGAGCATATGCCCGAAATAAGACATTCGCCGATTCGAACCGCGAAGGATGACCCGACCGACTGTTCTTGAAATCGCCCGTTATCGTTTGTTTCGCCGAGCCGTTTGACACTTGCATAAACGTCAACGCACAGTGGTGGGTGTCAGGCTCACTGCTCGATTAGCAACGAATTTGCTGTTCCGCGTGAAAAACACGATTCGGTCGTGGCTTTTCAACGAGCGCCAATAGCCGCGTAAAAAGAAGAAAGAAGAAGAAGAAGAAGAAGGAAAGGGAAAAAAATCCAGAGAAAAGATAATAAAGCGAAATACTTTTTCGAGCGGTAGACAACGGAACATCTGGTCGCTGTAAAAGGCCTGACCGACCTAATTGTAGTCCGCGGGCAAGCACAAAGGAGAGACGAGCTTGCGCACGCAAGCGCTTGCCGATCGCTGGCGCGCGGGCTCGAATTTTCGAAGCGCTCGACTGCCGCGCGACGGCAAGGGCGTGCTCCTAGACTGACTCGGTCCGATTG